AAAAACATTCATCATAAAAGATGTCCTTCAAGAATAGAAAAGAGTAGAAAAGCTCAATATCAATAGAAGGAGAAACCCTAGTAAACACATTAAATTAAGCGTATTTTTTGCAGGTCTGGCGAAACTTCGAAAAAGCACTAAGTCCATCTTGCACCGAAATTTTCAAAAGAACAAGGTCGGCCACATTATTTTAATTGCAAGAGAATAAATTCTACCATATAGTAAACAAGAAACGTAGCCATACCCACCGTTACATTTTCGTTGGCGCTATGTGGCATATCTTCTAAAGGAGTGTCAGGCGCTAGCACCTCATCAGGATCGTGCGAGCTTCTTGGCTGAAAAACAAGAACTCATCTGCATGCCAAAAGTCAAACAAATTCATACCGTAAAACAGACTATGTTTTGAATAAAAGGAGTTTTAAATTCCAAACGAATATTCACTACCTCATCCCGATAGTTGCTCGAATCGTTGGCAGCTTGCAATTCTTCTAGTCTGCTTCCACATTCGCGGACAACTCCAAGCGTCGCATCATTTTTAGAAAATACGGGAGTAGACTGTGCCAGCACATTTTCAGATAGGATAGGTGTCATATTTACGGCTAAATCACCATAGAAGATTCTACACTACGAAAAAACTTGGGAAATTTACCCGAACTGGAACTCTGCGGTACTGTAGATGCGCCTAGAATGCGCGACAGGGTATCAGCGCATTGTCTGGAATGGAAACTTCTCAGAACTATTTGTGACCATCGGCTAACATCATACTTTGAGATTTCAAAGTGTTTCGGATCGCTGTCGTCAAGAACTTCCAAATCGCGTCCAAACCTCGATCCTCCCTCATGCATGGTTACCGCCGACATGCCATTTGTTAACGAAGTGTAATTCCGAACATTACAAAGGTGAACTACATCGTTAACCTGGAAGGGATCAGATCGTGGAAATTATACCGACACAACTATGAAAGTCTAGTTTAGAAATTGATCTGTTGGCTGTTTGTGAGAATGATGGCTTCTCAAAGATATTAGTTGTCAAGTTAAAGGCAGTGTCCGGGCAAAAACTCGATTTTG